TATTACACACTGGAAGGGCTGGTGCCTGGGACCACCTACCATATCAGAGTCATTGTAAGTCAGGGATTAGAGAGATATCTGTGATTTCTTTGTGAATATCTGGGTTAAATATGGTTACAGATTATGTGTTAGAATTCAGAAGATGGAAGGGTAGTTCAACTGAAGTTATTTTGCCATTGTTTTAAGTACTAACTTTGATAATTTCCAACATCTCCATATTATTGTAATGACCTTTAAAAATTTGAAAAATTTCCAACATCTCCGTATTATTGTAATGACCTTTTAAAATTTGAAAATTAAAACATTTTAAATTTCTAGTTAAAAATATATATGTCATATATTTAGGTCATGTCAATGTTAACATATGTAAGACCAGTTACTCACATGTTCTCTCTGTGTTGTTCCAGGCATGTACAGGTGGAGGGTGCACCACCAGTCCCCCTAGCACTGCTAGGACAGAGGAGAGTGCACCAGAGGGTGTGCCTGACCCAGTGGTAGTCTCTCCCAGTCCTACAGAGCTCAGGATTACCTGGGGAGTGCCTCTCTATCCTAATGGTAATGTATTACTTGGTTATGACATAGAGGGCTACTATATCTGTCAGCTATATTGATTTTGTATCTGTAACATTTGATACAATATGACTTCATGGTTTTGTCTTTTAGTCCTACAGAGTTTAGAATTTACATAAAAAGAATGGCAGTAATAGCAGATAGCTTCAAACTTTCCTGAATTTTATAGTCAGTGCTTAAAGCTAGCTCACCATTTTGACTAGTAATTTGTAACAAATTCATTAACTATTTTTCCATTTTAATCCAGGCATTGTGTTGCGATATGACCTTTACCACAATGGCCTCAAGGTGTCGCCACCTCCAACAAATCGCAGCTACTACGTCAGTAACCTCAGACCCTGGAGTCTGAACACATTCCGTGTGGCAGCCTGCACAGCCAAGGGGTGCGGCTCTAGCAATGAGATCGCAGCGCGTACACAGGAAGCACCACCAGAGGGCAGGGTGGTGCTGGATCTGAGGGTCGAAGGCGCAAGAACTGTGATGATCAAATGGATGGCACCTGCTCAACTGAATGGGAATGTCAGCTATACTGCTTACTTTGAAGGCTACTTTTATCAGGATCCAGGTTTGTTCTTTAAGCTATATTCAGGACTATGGGCAGTTTCACCTAAAAAATCTAAGCCTTTTCTTGTTGTCTGTAAAATTTTATCTTCAGTTTAGTGTGAATCCATATAGTGGTCAGTTGACTGAGACTGGTGGGTTACATCCCAGACTAGTACAATCTGTAGCTGCACTCAGTGGAATTGGAATGTGGAATTGCGTCATGGCAGGCTTGTAGAAAGTCACCGAAGCACCAAAGTCCCTCAGAGCTAAAGGGTAGTTGGGCAGGATCTAAGGCCACGTGTCTAGCTTGTCTCAGAAGGCTTTTTATACCAGGAAAGGGTGACCATACCTCTCATCAAGAATCTTCCATGCGCTGTGAAATGCAGATGGACTGTTTCTGTAGAAAAACCCTTCAGATGCTTTATGTGCTGGATATCCCACATATATCTCTTTAAGTTGAAGATCCTTTCTTCAGGGGTATAAGCATCTGGAAAGAGGTCTTCCATTCTAAATACTGCAGTGGATCTCCAGTAAAAACGCTGGGTTCTGGAATCAGTAATCGGTTGAGGTTCATGGAATCATTCAGAGCTTTAACTAAAGTGTTCATATCTTGTAGCGGCGAAGCAGTTGTAGCGGCGCTTGCATTCTGTGTAGTGTTAACGTGACTCCCATCATCGCTTGGCTCGGCCTGATCTAGACTCTCAGCTGTAGCCAAATCACCGGTAGAGCAATTGGCACTGGACAACTGTGCTCTTTCACATTTTCTTTCTTCTTAATATTCTGCCATCCTTTTTGTCACTTTCTGTTTTGTTGAGACCGTCTTACGCTTTCCTCTGTCTCATTGTCTGCACTGTCACTCTTGTGTATGTCCATGAACACTACCTACTTGTCCGTTGAATAACTACGGGAAGGGAAATAAGACCGTTGATCCCCACTGGAAGAGAGACTCCACCGGAGAGAATTTTTACTGTAGCTGCACTCAGTCAAGAAAGAAGTCTCCAATACTGATTGAGTTGTTTTATTTCAAATTCAAACATAAAACTGAAAGAAAATAAATTTACATTAACGTTGAAATAGTTTACCTTTTCCTCTGACTATGTGAGCTAATATACTGTGTCGTTAGATTTCTCTGTCCTGTTCCAAGCACGAAAGTGAAGTGTGTAAAATGAAAAAGAAAGAAGGCCTTATATATGCTGTGAAATGAAAACTGTTCAGTGCAGGGTGTGGTACAGGCATGTGACGGTGCAGTTACGTAAGTTCAGTGGCTTGTAACTTTATAATTAGTAGAGAGAGAGAGAGAAAACAAAGAAGGGCAAAAGAGAAAGAAGGGAAAATGTGCTTCACATGAATAATAAGTAAACAAAGGACAAACTCAAATAAAAATGAAAAATAAAAATATTGCAGGCAGTTACAGAATTCAACTTCTCATTTCAGAAAACTGGAATTACAACCTGGTCACTGAGAACCGTGGTCTGTACACCAGTGGGGAGTCTGATACATGGGTAACTATTGACAGCCTAGTGCCATATTCCCAGTACAGGGTGACAGTCAGAGCTGCTAACACCAAGGGCTCCATTCTCAGTAATGAGATGGTGGCCAATATGCCACAGGGATGTAAGTAAATTGTCTCTAACATGATGGCATGTTGAATTGTCAGATCAAACATATGTCTAATCTCAAGTTGCTAGACAATATTATTTCCTGATTAAACTTTGCTGCTTTACAAAGCATTACAGCCTATTTTACGTGTGACTTTTGTCACAAAATTGACATTGTCTTCAACATTGTAAGTTTTAATAGATGGACTGACTTATTTGTTTTTCCATTACTTATGCTAGAATTTGTGCTTTACATTCTGAATTGCATTATCACTCTACAGGAAGATTTTGAAATACATTTGATCATGTTGACTAAATCCATGTTTTATGCAGCACCTGATGGAGTGGCACCCCCTACACTCACATCACCAAGCTCCACGTCTATCAGAGCCACCTGGCGGCCAGTGGGAAGAGCTAATACAGATACACAACCAGTGTTTCAACTACAGTTTAGAGAGACCACAACTGGAGCATTAGTTCAAGAGTAAGGAAAACAGACCATTTTGCCTCCCACAGCAAACTGATTGTTATACATTTCAATTCACCAATTTTTATATTATTCACTCTATTTGCAGTTGTTGGCAGCTTTTTAATCTAGTAATATTATGCAGTTATTCATTCTTCTCGATAAATATATATTTTTTAAAGTGCCACTTTAACAAGAGTTTTCAGCATTGCCAGTCTTTGTTATGACATCATGAATTTCTTTCTTTTTTTCCAGCCTTTTTGCGCAGCCTACCACTGCCACTACCTATCTGAAGACTACTCTGACTCCATACACTCGCTATGAGTTCCGCCTGGTGGCCAGTAACACTGTGGGCTCCACACAGACAGAATGGGTCTCACTTTTTACCAGACAGGACAGTAAGTCTTATGATATCAGTGGGATGTTTTATATAATAACTGTTGTCAGAATCTTTATGAACAATACTGCATGGTCTTTATGAACAATACTGCATGGTCCTTTTCTGTAGCCTGAAAAAAATATATTAAGGGCCTGGATCACCTCATTTTTCAGTGTGTTATCTGTATCTCTAAACAATGACAAAAAAGATTAATAATAAAAGTTAATAAAATATTATATTAAAAAATGATATGCCGGATAAACATTAGAAAACAGTGCTCTGTTGCATGCCTTTACTGTCTTTATCTAGAACCTGGCGCTATAGACCCGCCAATGACAACCAATGTCAAGTCACGCTCCATTGATGTCACTTGGGAACACCCGCTGCAGAGGAATGGCATCATCACACAGTACAGAATATACCAGAATGACCAGTTCCGACAATCTGTTCCTGGGAATGTTACCCAGATTGTGGCCACTGGTTTGATTCCATACACAGATTATGTGTACAAAGTGGAGGCCTGCACTGTGGCTGGGTGTACCATGAGTCCAGAGTCTCAGTCTGTCAGGACACTTATTGCAGGTACAGCCTTGAGATATTATAGTGTGTTGGTGTCACAGCTTTTTGTGAGAACTAAATTTGTGAATAGAACTGTTTCTGGCTTTAGTCTACAGATATTCTGGACATATGTACACTGTTTTAAGATTATTGGTAGGAGTTATTAGCTTGAGCATCAGATGTGATACATTTCTGTTTTTTTCAGTAAGACACTAATGGGCATTTAGGGAAATTTGAAAAAAAAAAACATGGCAAGCATTGAATCTGATTCTTTTCTCAGTCACAAGTTAACATCATAATTTACTTTCACTTTCTTTTCTAGCACCTGAGGGTGTCCCTGCACCCACCCTGATCTCTGAGACCCCCACCTCCGTCCTCATCTCCTGGGGTCCCCCTACCTTCCCTAATGGTGACCTGACAGGTTACACCATAGAGCGCCGCCTTAGGAACACCAGTGCCATCACACTGGTGGCCCTCATTGGCACCGCTAATCCCAGGAGATATGTTGACCAGGCTGCAGTGCTGACACCTTATACAGAGTATGAGTATCGCATATTAGCATCCACTGTTGTGGGTACTGGGTATGGACCATGGGCAGTGGTGACCACACGCTCTTCAAGTAAGAACTGTGGATTGAATGCTATAGGTCATTCAATTCTGAGAATAAGGATGTCTTTTTTTAAATATTGCTAAATCATGGAAATTTGAGGCCAAAGAAAAAAGGAAATGATGTTTGAAGGGAAGCAGTTTTCAAAATGTTATGTAGGAACTGTTTTAGTGCTATTGGATTGTTTTAATTTCGGAGAATTTCAACAGCTGATTTTATAAACAACCCCAACTCACAACTTTGTTATAATTTCAGGACCTAGTCCTCTGAATCCTCCAGTAGTTGACATATTGGGTCCAACATCTGTACGTGTGAACTGGAAAGCACCTACAAATCCCAATGGAATCCTGGAATATTACATCATCAAGTTTCCCATTCCAAGAATAGAGCTGAGGAATACCAGTATATTGTCTCTGGAGGTGGATGACCTGTTGCCTTACACTGAGTATACTGTCACAGTGACTGCTTGTACAGGTAGGAACATTGCAGATTGAATATTGATCAGTTTTGATATTTTTGTGATATTGGCATATTTTTATATATTTGCCTATTATATAGGTATTTATATATTTGCTGCTTGTTTCTATTATTTCAAATTTTATCTACACGTGACATTAGATAAATTGGTGTTATTTTGTTGCTTTTTAAGGATGTTGTAAAAATATCATGTTTCATTAATTGCTGTCTTTTAATAAATGTTTTTCTAATGAAGAACTATACACTGAGGGAAGTGTTATGTTCAATTTACTAAAATCATGCATGGACTTTAATTGACCATTTACATGTGTAATAAATTTTTCAGATGGTGGCTGCAGTGAAAGTCAGCCTCGTGTTATCAGAACAGAAGCTACATACCCTGCAGGCCAACAGCCACCAGTGGCTCTACCTATTTCACAAACACTGATCTCAGTCACATGGCAGGCTCCACCCAATCCCAATGGACCTAACATAAGATATGAACTGGCCAGGTTAAAACTGAGGCAGCCTTTGGATGGTGAGTTTCATATTTTTAGTTGTTTTTTTTTTATTTCAAAATTTTATACAATGCGGCTATGATTTTATTTTGTTTTGCATTGAATGTTTAATTAAGTGGATACTTTTGTTGAAATTTAAAGCATATTTCAAGGACAGCATAAACATAACCTTAAATGTTAAAATTGAACTTTATGGTCATGAGTTGAATTATATATTATTATAGAAATAATATTCAGTGGATATTTTATAAAAACTGAGAAACAATCTATGAACATGTTAATTTGAGGAGAAACTTTACCAACACTTGAAAAATTGAGGCTAGAAAATGAAATATTCATCGTTATACAGAAGTAAAGTATATTCATTAACATCTAATTTCACAGATCAAGCAATAGGTTTTAACGTCTGGAACAGTATCTACACGGGCAGCAATACCAACTTTGATGACCGCGGTCTGACAGTGTTCACCACCTATGTGTACAGGGTCACAGTGTACAATGACTTTGGTCCTATGATCAGTGACAATTCTGAGGAGGTGACAACTTCTGGGGGAGTCCCACAGGCACCTGCTAACCTCACTGCGGTCCCTGTCAGCCATGTCCAGGTTGGACTATCTTGGAGCACACCAGGTAGGTAGTTATAGAGTGGGAGTTTTCAGGCCTGTTGTAAAGTCCCTTTTGTGTGTGAGTGTGTATTGAAGTCATTTTAGAAAGTTGCAAGATTTTGTGTGAATTTTCTTTGGAAAAGGGAAACGTTTCTGAGGATGTTATGGGTGAAGATGAAATTTGCCTACTTACAGCAGAGTTTTACATGATAGATAATGACCTTTCATTTCAGATGAGGTGACCCTCCAAGGCTTTGTAGACAGATATGAGGTCATCATCAGCAGCCCTGCTCTAAACACAACCAAGACTTATGACTCAGACACCCAGCAGACGGTGATAGACAGCCTCAGTCCCAACACAAGGTACCAGTTCTTGCTGAGGTTGTACATCAATGGAGGGGCAAGCATAGACAGCAGACCTGTGTATGCTACCACATTAGATGGAGGTGAGTGGATTGGGATTGAAAACACACGAGTGCAGGGTCTTGACCTAGTAAAAAGACCTTTGTAATATTTGATGGATGATCGGCATTACTTCATAGTTCTCATTTACAATTAATGCCATACAATGTACTCGTTTGAAATTTATTTGTCTGTCCATTGTCACTGTCTTTTCATTGGTTGAAAAGGTATACTTGGTATAAAAGCGGATACGTAGATAAATATTGCCTTGTACCAAGTTAGTAAAATACTTAAGGCATTTTGGCTTATATTTAAAACATTGTGCAGAGATACCATATAATATAAACATATGAAAATACTTCAGCTCCAGAAGGGCTCCCTCCTCCACAGCTCTATGTGGTCAGTGACACTGCATTGAGAGTGACCTGGACAGCTCCAGCCAAACCCAATGGTCAGATAACAGGATATTATATCTATATCAATGGACAGAGAGTGGACCCAGCAATGACCACTGCTGGATCTTATGTACTCCAGAATCTTCAGCCTTACACCATATATGATATAAAGGTATGTCTTCACTGTTTTAATCATGCTTTGTGGTTATAGTTGCTTATAAAATAAAAAAAGTGTTATAGATATGATTTTGGTGTCTTGGTGGTCTTTCATGGTATCCGTCATCATGAAAACACTTTATTAAAACTAATTCTGTTCCTTACAAAAAAAAATCTCAGCCGACTTGTTGGTTGGTAGGGAAATATGTTGCAAATAGGTTATAAAAAAACCTGTTTCGAAGTCTCTTTATGAAATATCGTTTGAGACTTAACAAGTACCACATACCACAGCCAGCTTGACTTTTTCCTGGCATAATGTATTTTTGCAGATTCAAGTATGCACAGTATTTGACTGTCTGATGAGTGACACAACTCAAGGAACAACAGCAGAGGCCATAGCCCAGGACGTGCTGCCACCTACACTTGATGTGATAGACTCCTACTCCATTGGCATCAACTGGACAGCACCAAGTCGCCCCAACGGGATCATTGTACGTTATGAAATTATGAGGAAAGCCATGCTGCCATGTGATTTGATTCAGCAGTAAGTATGCTGAGATGTATAATATGAATGGTATATTGATGATGAAGCCAAAAAAAGTCTAATTATGCTAGTGTTCTTTAGATTAAAATAGTTCTTTAACAACAAATGAAAAAAAAGGTGACATTCTATTCATAGTAAATTGTCGATAAGCTCAATTTTATGTAATGAGATTTTAATAAAATGCATTGATGTTTGTTATTTTCCAAAGAAAACATACATGAAAAATATGTCAGTGGGGGTACATTTTGATTTCTACAGTTTTATTGTATGTATAATTTAATTAGTGTATTTGGTGACATAGAGACAAGCAAAACAAATATCAATATTTTCATTTCCAGACCAATGACCACAGCAGTTCCTAGCAGTGAGAAGTGTTCTTATATTGAGTGTGGAATACTGGAGGGGGTGTGTGGCAGCCAGTGCTTCTCTGGACCCAAGGTATGGCACAGCTGAATTTGAACATTTTGTGCAATCAGTGATTTTGACCTGGACCTTTTTTCTGTTTCATCATTATTAGTTCTATATCTGTAATGTTTCTCGCTTTCAGTACCAAGAAACATCCCGTTTTCCTTTTACATTGGAAATCTGTTCAATATATGATGTATAAGCATTACTGAAATACATTTTGTACCTATTGCATCTTATATCTATTGTCAAGGTCATAGAATCTGATATTATATAGACTTAAAACCTTGTTCTCCTGGATAGTTATGAAGAAAACTTGTACATGTACCAGAGTCTTGCAACTGCAGCACAATTGCAACTGTTACAGTTACACAAAGATATTTACTTTATATCACTTACATGATTGTAAAATACATCAGCATGTTGTTTATATTTCAGACTTGTTGTGGTGGTGTCCTCCATGATAATCGCCTTGGATACGAGTGCTGTGGTACAGACTACATTCCTGGAAGACAAAGTGCAGATGACGTCTGCTGCGCTGGGAAGTTCTATCCAAGACAGGACCATTTCCAATGCTGTGGAGGACGGTAAGGATTCATTCAGGATTCAGTGTTAAAGAAGAACATCTAACTCATTGAAAGAAAGAAAAAACTGTTAATTCAATTATCCTATATTATTAATTCTTGCATTTCTATATATAAATTGTAGATTATACATCTATATACATATACATTTATCATCTAGATCATACATTTTAATTTTTGGCACTTACAATGTTTTATATAGATTTCTGTTGCAACAAAATGATATCAGTAAACATGATATGAATATAGACATTGCATGTTGAACAATTTTATATTCTGCTCTTCAGATATGTAGAAGTCCGTCCTGACCAGATCTGCTGTCCAGACCCCACCGAGGACCGAGTGGACGTTGGTTTTGGTGATCAGTGCTGTGGCTCTATACCTTATGACTCCAGTGGGGCTCAGCTGTGTTGTACTGGTGAGAATCTTACATGACTGTTCACAGTTTGTTTACAATGCTTAAAACATATCCAGAAAGTGTGCACATTAAAAAATTTAGCCTTCTGTTCTCTTCCACAAACACACCTTAGAAACCTTTTCTTCTGAAAGATGAAACCTATAAATGATGAACTTAAATTTTCATAAGACAGATGGGTGGACAAATATGCCAAGTTAGACCCCTCATTGAATAGGTGAAATTTATAGATTATGGGGAAAATCACTTTAATTTTCAAAAGACAAACACACCAATGAATAGATTGCCAGTAACATTCCTGTGTATATTGTGTCAGGTACCCTGTATGACAAGTATGGTAAACAGTGCTGTGGCAGACAGTTGATAGAGAGTGATGTCACATGTTGTGGTGGTAGTGAGGAGGGGATAGCATACACAACCAATGTACAGAACACCTGCTGTGGTACAGAGTATGTCCCAACTGCTACCACTGCTTGCTGTGTGGATGAGGAAGGAAAAGCTAAGGTAAATAGCATGTGGTTTATGTAGAAATTAAGGGAAATTAAAGGTAACAGTCAGCTTGAAATGAAAGCGTTAAATGAAAGTGCTTGTTTGTCACAGGACAACACTGAGGAAATTTGAAAGTGAAAGATTTCATGACTTTCATACAAACCTTGGATTATTCCTTTTTAGAGGGATTCAAAGACCTAATCTAGATGATAACTGGGAGAAACTTTTTTAAATTGCTGAATGATTTACACTGAAAATGATATTTCTTATACCAGCACTTAACAAGACTGCATTGGCGATATTTTTTTCATCATGTGCAGTAGTACATGGCATTCTGAAAATTGGCTCTCTTTCTTTCAGTCTCACACATATGACAGTGCTACAGAGAAGACTAATTCCAATGAGAAATGCTGTGGTACAGAGAGAATCTCCTCAGGACTCAGTTGCTGCAACAATGTGGGCTTCAATCCCATCAGTCAAGTGTGTGCTGACCGCTCCAGCATGGAATCTGGTAAATATTCATTTTCTGTCAAATTTTATCAGATGCTTAAAGAAAAATATTTTAACTGCAGCTCACGAAAGTAAGTTTAAAAGTTGAGATTTATTTTTCTAACTTGAATTGATATTCAAAATGTATGAAGATGAAGAAAGGGTATATTCCTTTGTTAATTTGGTTTAGAGTGTATGGCTTACATTTAAATTCATATATCTGTATTATCATTATTATGACTTATTTGATTCAGCATTCATATCCTTTTACAAATATTATTTTTGCTATAATAGGTAAATTTTTGTCCAGACTAAAAAATTGGGCAGCACTTTCATTATACATAAACATGTTTCAGTGAATTTCAGTCAATATTTTAATATAATTTGACCTTCTATATCCAGGCTGTGGTTCCAGTACTGTTTGCCAATCCACACAAAGCCTGAGTGCCTTCTGTGATAGCTGTCAGTTCAACAGCAGCACCAGTATATGTGGGTCTGTCAGTGGACCCTTGGCACCCACCACACCCACCTCCCCACCCACACTACAACCCACCACATGTGAGGATGGACCCCATAGGATATACTCGGGACTAGGACTCAGTTATACTGGTATGGATTAAATAGTTCTTAGGCTAGTTAAAGGGGTTGTATTGAAGGTATCACAAATATATCCATGTTCATGTACTTTACATGCGTTTTTTAACTTCAGGCATTAAGGTTAAATCATTGATAGAAGATAAAATAGTAGATAACATTTAGAGCAGGAAGGGAGAAACAAGATCTATTGCAATAATCTCTATATATTAATTAAAGATTCTTTGGCTTCTTTTTCCAGATGCTGGCCTGTACCCGTATATAACCTATGAGTATTCTGTTGTGGTTGTGAACCGTGCTGGTAGCCAGGCAAGTGACTACGCCTCAGCCACCACCATGCAGGCAAAACCTGAACAGGTGGCTCCACCAACATACAAGATAGTCCCATCCCAGTTAGACACCATCTATCTGAGCTGGAAGGAACCAGGGAAACCTAATGGTGAGTTATAAGGATAAGTTTAAGGTATCCAGGAATCTAATTTTCCTTTAAAAAAAAACTGATTCAGTGCAGACCTCTTCTATCTTTAAAACCCATGACCCCCCCACCCCCACCCCCACCTCCGCTGCCCCTGTAATCTGGATAATTAGGGAGCGAGATATATTGCATAGGATTTATACTTTAAAGGTTTTCTGTGTCAGTAGCTTAAGGTATTATATTCACTAAGTAAACATCCTTGTTTACCTTACTTTCTATTCCTAGTTAAGATTCAATGAAAAAGAATAACTTGTCTATCCAGGTGCCATCACTGCCTATATTCTGTTGAGAAGTGGTGTAGAGATCTACAGGGGTCTTGGTATGCAGTACATGGACAACAACAACATCAAACCATACCAGACATATACTTATCTGATGAGAGCATGCTCTCTGGCGGGATGTACCAACAGTGAACCTGTAAGTGTATCAGATATTTTCAAATGGTATTTGGCTTAGTGAACAGTTTCACTATGTAATATAAAAATCAGAAGTCATATAGTTATATTAAATCTCAAATGTATGTTTGGGTAGAAAATATCAATTCGATGACAAAAAAAGGTTTTCATACTTACATATTCACCTTGAACTAAAATTCAAATTAAAATCCAAATGTCAGCTAAGGTAATAGTCAAACCAAGCTTGTAACTAATTGCAAGAAGTACCAGTAAAAAATAAATGGTAGTGATACAAGACATAGTTGTTTTAGATTTACCCATATTATAGCAATTCTCATACTCATCTCATAATATCAAATTCTCCAAAATTTGAAAACCCTATCAGGTCACAGTGGCAACACTGCAGGCAGCTCCAGAGCAGGTGCTGCCCCCTACAGTTACTGTTCTCAACTCCTCGGCTATCCACCTGGCCTGGACTCCCCCTGGTAAACCTAATGGTATTATAACCAGCTACCAGATATGGCAAGAAGGAGCAGGCAATATTCACACTGTCAGCAGTGGGGAGCTGGAACACACAGTAAAAGGTTGGTCCAACAAGATTCTTATTTTAAAGAAACCGGTGTTTGTGATAACAGAAACTAGAGTGACTAATTAGGAAGTTTTTCTGTGTGATGATCATGGCAGTAGAAAAAAAAATCAAATTTTATCCACCACAGTTCTATAAAAATAATTAATGAAGGTTGTTAGGTCTGATTGAAAACTTGATCTATATCTCACTTCAAACTCTATTTAACTATTTTATTTTAATTAAATAAAGTAAAAACAACTATCTGCTTGAAAAGCAGTTGAGTAAGGAATTGTTAATTGAAATATGACCTTGAACTTGATCGTTGTCCCATGTACATGACCTATTTCCAGGGCTGCTGCCTTACACAGAGTATGAGTTCTACCTTAAGGTGTGCACCCAGGAGGCTTGTACTAGCAGCTCTACTGTGGCAGCAAGGACAGCCGAGGCTGCACCACAGGGTTAGTTTATCTCTTTTCATCTAAAATTTGTGATTTAGATTTGTAAAGTAGTAGTTGTTACAATTTAACTGTAAGGGAAAATAAGTCATATGTATAACATAACTGCTGTTGTAGCAGATGTGAAGCAATGAGTGTGGTAGGTAATGAGTGAGATTGTGTTAGGTGTACATGGTAGTGTGGTGGCATATGAGTGTGTTTGGATGTGACAGAGCTACAAATGTGTTAGATGAGACAATCACTCCAATTTGCAGATGCCATATCGGTACCACAGAACCATATCAAGTTGATAGTGATTATAAAATCTCCTTTTAAAGCATAGTATTTTTTTTTT